GCCGCCATGCGAACCCTGCCACTGGGGCCTTCGGTGGAGCTCCCGATGGGGCCACGAAGCGATGTACTGGGTGGGCGAAACACAAGGAGGAACGCGGGGCACCGTCTCTTCAAAACGAGGACCCAACACCAAAGGACGGCTGGGACAAATCCTTCAAAACAAAAGGAACTCAAGGATAGCCTTCCCGCCTGTTCGTTTCCGATGGCCGTCCGAAGCCTGAATACAGCGCCAAGAGGTCCTCTGAGGGCCGCGTGACAGAGCCCAAAAAGGGCAGCAAGAGCCCCCAAGAATGCCCCAAGAGCGCGCCAAGTTGAGTCCAGAGGAGTAAGATCCTCCCTTCTTCGATCGATCTCCCCCAGATGGCCCCAAGAGCAGCCCAAAGGCTCCGAAGAGCGGCCCAAGAGGGCCCAAAGAGGCGCCAAGGAGGCCCCAAGAGGCGCCCAAGAGGCCCCCAACAAGTTGTTCCCCCGACCAGCGTGTACGGTTGGGTCCTCGTTTTGAAGAGACAGCGTCCAGCGTTCTTTTCCCGCCTCCTTCCTCCCGCCCCCACCCTCCTCCCATCTTTACCTTTGCTCTCCGCATGTCCACCATTTCAGCGCACCCACCACGGTTCGTGGCCCCACAGGGAACTCCACCGACTCCACCGAACGCCCCAATCGCACAAATCGCACGCGCCGGCCCCGCCCGCCGCACGTCAATCTCGGTACACCCCTCACACGGTCCGTGGCCCCGTAGGAAGCTCCACCGAGGGCCCAAAATGCAAAATCCACATGCGCCCATCCCCGCCCGCCGCATGTCCGTGTCGGCACACCCTTCACACGGCTTGTGGCCCAAAAGGGAGTTCCACCAAAGGCCCCAGAGGCAAAGTCCACATGCGCCGATCCCACCATCCGCACGTCCACTTCGACGCACCACTCACACGGGTCGCGGCCCGAGGGGGCTTCACCAAGGGCCCCACATGTAAAGTCAACATGCGCCCACCCTGCCCACCGCATGTACATTTCGACACACACACCACACGGTTCGTGGTCCCATAGGGAACCTGACCGAAGACCCCGTATGCAAAGTCCACATGCGCCCACCCCGCCCACCGCATGTCCATGCCGGCACACCACTCATACATTTCGTGGCCCCTGCGGGGGCTTCACCGACGATCGCAGCGGCAAAATCTGCATTGGGCCCGCCGCCCACCGCAGGCCCATTGCGGCAAACACCCCACACTGTTCGCGGCCACATAGGGAGCTGGGCCGAATGCCCCAGAGGCAAAGTCCACATGCAATGGAAGCAGCTCAAACAGTTTGCAGCGCGCACGAAAAGGCGCAGGAAGGCGGAGACGGCCCTCGCCAGGGAGCTCGGTCTCACCGAGAATATCCGCGGGGCCTGACCTGGGAACCTGGCCCGCCCGAGCAGCGCCTTCTCTTGATTGTCTAACAGTTTGGCCTCGCGCCGCGAGCGACGCGCGCGCGTCGCTGGAACCGTCTGGGGACGACCAACGCGCGTCGCGGGAACTTCGCACCGCGCTCTGCCCAGCGCCTCGCTCGGCGTCGCTCTGCTCAGCGGCTGGTGTCTTGCCCGCCATCAGCCAGCCAGCTAGCTTTCCGTGCTCCGCGCAGCGGACGACCCGCGAGCGTCGCCGGGGCCACTTCGGCGCGAACGGCGCGCGTCGCGGGGGGTCCGCACTGCTCTGCGCCCGCAGCCTTGGACTTGGAAGCGCGCGGGCAAAGAGGGAGAAAAGGAAGGAAGGGCCATCTTGGACGGCCCAGAGTTCCTTAGGCCCCCCCACCGAACAGATCGCGGACAGACGAAGCCGCGCCGAAGGCCCTCGAGGAAGCTCCACCGGAGGCCCCAGCGGCAGCGCCCACATGCCGCCCCCATCCCAGTTTGGCACGCACACCCCACGCGCTTCTCAGCCCCAAAAGGGGCTCCACCGAAGATGACACCAACGACTTCGAATGGGCCCTTCGCCCAGCAAATTTTGCCCATTCCAAGGGGCCCCGGACGGATCCCGCCGGAAAGCCCGTCAGCCGCTCCCCAGCAGCATGGGCTCGGATCTTCGCGACCAGCCGCGGCTCCATCGGCCCCCCCGCCCGCGAAGTGCGCGCCCGCGTTGCACTGGCAGGACAGGTTCTCGAGCGAGTGGCTTCCCTGTCTGCGGGTGCCTGCCCGGCGAGACGCGACCCCTCCTCTTCCCCCCGGCATCGCCCTTGCTCGACTTGCCTTCTCTCTCCAGCGGCCCAGGGCAGGCGGCGCTGAGGCCCGCTCTTCTCGTCGACGAGTGCGCGCCGCACGTTGCACGCGCAACGCGCGGCCCACGCACTTCCACGCGGCGCGCTCGCGCTGCAAGCTGCTGAGATTCGCCTGGCCCGCGACGCTCTTCACCCGACCGCCTTCCCGCCGCCCCTGCCACCGCCGCTACGATCGCCGCGCGCGCTTCCAGCGACCCCGAGGCCCCGGCCCCCATGGCCCCCGTGGACCTCCACGGCGGCCGCTGACAGTCCGACCCCCACAGCTTCTCGCGCATGCGCTCGGAGGCGGCTCGCTCGACGTACTTCGCGCAAACTGTCGACTTGCCCTTCGTCACCACCCTGTGCCTCGTCGGCAATTTCCTTCGCGGTCGGCCTGGCCCTCGCCTGGGGGCGCCTGGCCATCCCCCCCGCCATCTTCCGGCGCCGCCAGCCGATGTTCTGCACCACCCAGCGCGCTATCGCCCCCAGCTCCACGAGCGCCTGCTGCCTGTCGAAGTTCGCGCCCTGCTCACCGCGCCCTCCGTCGCCAGCAAGTCCGCGGCGCCGTTGCCGCGCGCGACCTTGAGCTCGTCGCCCTGCAGCTGCTCAATCTTGGTCTTCGACCGATGCGCCTTCACGCGGCGCACCGACTCCATCTCCGGGCATTTCACCTTGCGCCAGATCTGCTTCCACAGGTCCGCGCGCGGTCGCTTCCAGCTCGCGCGCCCTCTTTCGCCCCTCTGAAACCCGCCCCCCCCCCATGTTCCGCGCGGATCCTGCGCGGCAGCATCTTGTTCCCCAGCACCGTCAGGAACGCCCGCGCCTCGGCCCGCTCGACCCTGCCACGCGCCGGGACGGGAAAGCTCAAGGAAGCATGACGCAGCACAGTGCAAAACGGTGCGAATCAATCGCAAGTCACGCCCGAACCGTGGCCATGGTTATCTGCGAGGGGCCCTGGTACCTCGGAGTGCGGTTCCCTCGTCAGAAGCCATAGGCTTTCAGGATGGTGAGCCGAAAGCGGATTCGGCTCTTCGCAGTCTTGGTTTGTTTTGTCTCGCTTCGACTCGGGTCGCTTTGGCATTCGTCTCGGTTCGTACCGGTTTGTTCCGTCTTGCAGCAGTTCGTCGCGTCTTGGTTTGCCGCGCTTCGGTCCGTCCATACTCGGTGCGTTTCGCGTCGGTTCGGAAGTACCCCCTCTTGCTTCGTCCCGTGATGGAACTGAATCAGATTCTGAGCTCGAGCTGGTCGAGCACCTCGCGCGGCTCGAGCTCAACCAGCTCGAGGTATGCGCTCAGGCAGCTCGAGCCTAAGATCCGGATCAGTTCGGTTAAGATTTTGACGACAGGGACGACCTGATCCACAACGCTGAGTAGAGCATAACACAGTTCACCTCGGCATGGCACTTTTGACAATAGCACAGCACAGCACAGCACAGCACCGCCCCTGGCACGGTACATCGCCACCGTTACATGGAGCATGGGATCTGCCCGTCGCTCAAGCTTGTGTCTTAGAAACGTTCCCATGCTTCACAACTATATCCGGTTTCAGGTGCGTGGGTCTATAATCTGACCATCTTCGTTTCATATCACGATTGTTGGAAACAGTGAAAGAAACGGACCTGCCGTATCCAAGAAGGGCGGAGGCTGGTGGACGGTGGAACTACACGGCCCTGGAAAAGTCATGCATCATGAATCGTCGATGTGTTAGTGTCCGTCACCTTCGGCTTTTCGTATGTGTTAGCCTCTGGGGACCATGTCGGACAATGGGACCGTCAAACACGGACCAGGGATGACAACTATCCCCAGGGAAGTCCCTGGGACGATTCTTCGACACGACCAGAAGTTGTATCATTGTCCGAGGGGGGTGTAGATCGCATCCTGAATTCTTGTCTTGTTGGTCCGTGGGCATACAGGGCGGGCGGTGAACGGTGGGCGGCGGTGGATGGTGGTGGGCGGTGGGACGGTGGTGGGCGATAGAACAATTAGCCTGACGAAGAACCCAACCATCTGCTGCTGCGAGTACCGCGAGGGAGAAGAGACGAAGGAGCGGGGGCAGCAAAGAGGACTGCGGCGTGCATGAGGGGGAGAGGCTGACGCGGGCCAGCGGGGAGTCTTCTTGGTTTCGCCCGAGCCCCGTGCGAGGCCAGTGCCATGCGGACGCTCCCGCTGGGGCCTTCGGTGGAGCTCCCTCTGGGGCCTCGAACTGTGTGAGGGGTGCACCGACCTGAGGCAGCGGAGCCATGTGGACGCTCCCGCTGGGGCCTTCGGTGGAGCTACCTATGGGTCCACGAACCGTGTGAGGGGTGCGCCGAAATTGTGCGGCCGTGCCATGCGGACGCTCCCGCTGAGGCCTTCAGTGGAGCTCCCCATGGGGGCCACGAACCGTGTGAGGGGTGTGCCGACATGCGGCGCTGACGATGGCGATGGTGATGATCATGATGATGTGGATCATGACGATGGCGATGATGATGACGATCATGACGCTGACGATGACGATGACGAGGCGGATGGGAAGAGGGAGGAGGGGAAGGAGGGGGGGAGGAGGAGTGGGAACGCGGGGCGCTGTCTCTTCAACACGAGGACCCAACACCACAGGATGGTTGGGAAACAATACAGGCCAGCGCGGATTTCGGAGGTCCGCGTGGAGTTCTTGCATCGGCGCTGGACCCCCCTCCCGCTCGAGGCGCCGCCAGGGGGGCCCAGGCGCCGACACGAGAAATCCACGCGGAGCTCCGAGCGTTTGTGTGTATGCAGTGTGTCCGTGTTCGAGCGATGCCTGGTGAGTGGTGGGCAGTTGTTGGCGGAGGTGAGGGGGGCGTGCCCCCTCCACCTTTGGGAGAGAAGGCAGAGCCGCGCCGACGACGGCCAACGGTCGCACGTCCGATCGCCAGCGGCGGCCAAAACCCGCCCATGGCCGGAGCCTCAGAGCACCGGCTGCGCCCCGCCTCGCGCAGAAGGGCGGCCGCCGCCGGCGTCGCCGCTGAGTGGAGGGCAAGAGGAGGAGGACGACGACGACGACGAGAAGGACGAGGAGGGGGCAGGGAGGACGACTAGTGTAAACCCAAGACCCATCAACGATATTGCAAGAATCCTCCCTCCAAGTTCCCTCGTCTGAGGCTCCTACAAAGATTCATCTTCACTGAGTGAAGCGCCCCGTTTGAAGACAACTGCTTGAGAATCACAAACTGTACCAGAATACCATCCCTGGAATTTCAACGCCGCCGCGATTCACCCTGACTGTTGCGTCTTGACGATCCTGAGTCGCGCTTGAAAAACACTCCTGGGACTCAACACCGCGAATCAACGAAACGGTTGTGCTCTGACAGTCCGACATCGTGCCAAAACAACTGTCTAAGATGCTCACCATGAGATAACCTCAGAAATTACTGTGACCTCTTAAAACGAATGTGCGAGGTGCTAAGGCGAGAACCACAATTTGAAAACGGACCACCCTCCATCCATCAAGCTCTTGCACATGCTCACAACGAATGTGCGCGGCGCTGAGGCGAGAGCCGCAATTCGAAAACGGACCGCCCTCCGTCTGTGAAACTCCTGAAACTGCTTTAGGACGACGGTGCCAGGTGCTGTGGCGAGAATCACATTTTGAAAGCGGACCGCCCTCCATCCGTGAAACTCTTGCACATGCTTAGAGCGAATGTGCGCGGCAATGAGGCCAGAGCCATATTTCAAAAACGGACTGCCGACAATTCGTGAAACTCGTGCAAATGTTTAAACGAATGCGCGCGGCGCTGAAGCGAAAGCCGTATTTTGAAAACGGCCCGCCCTCGATACGTGACACTCTTGCACATTTTCAGCTGAAAGATCATGAATGGTAAAGAAAGCTCAATCGAAACGCCCGGTCCGCCGTGCTGACACGCCTTGGGGTGCGACAGGAAGGAGAGATTCATAAGGAAATGGAATGAAGGAGGAGGAGGAGGAGGGGAAGGAGGGCTCTCCATTCCTGCTCTCCCCTCCCCCTCCACTTCACAATTACACAATCTGAATAGTACTCTCCTCTCTCCCCTGACTCTGTCTGGAGAGTGCCCCATCCTCTCCGCGCATTGTTTCTTACACACAGGATTTCATGATTCGGTTTTTTCTTTTTTCTTCAATCAGATTGTTTCTGCTTCTTCCACAGGGGTGTTCCCGCTGAAGCGCCGCCCTCATTTCCGCGCTTCGGTCATTCAAAATCGTGCTCCCGCTGAGGCGCTGGCCTCGTTCCCGCGCCTCTGGACGGCACTTGGCATTCGAAAGCGCCCACATGGGGCAGGCACGGTTGCGGAAGACATGGAGCCGGCACTCCAGATAGGCCCTGTCCTCTCGTAGAGAAGCCACTTGCCCTCCAAGTCATAGGGCGCCATGCCAAGGCATGCAATGCGATGCTGTGTTGTGCACCGCTGTGCGGTGCCCTGCTTTGCGTTGCTGTGCTTTGTGATGCAACGCTTTACTACGCAATGCCACGCCATGCTATGACATGCTGAGCTCTGCCGTACTCTTTTACGTCATGCCTTTCCATCCATCGCGTACCCTCGTGGGATCATTGCCCTGCTTGCTATCCGACTGTGCGAATAGATGGGAGATCTACTCCATGACTAGGGAGGGGGAGGACGTCAGATGTGACGCTAGCGCACCTAGCTTGCCTCCCTTCCCCTCTTCTCTCATCCTCTCCCCTCACTCGGTATCCAAGGCTGCGGGCGCAGAAGAGGGAGGCGGAGGAGGACTATGCCCTCCTCTCCTTCTCCTCTCACCGCTTCCCCAACCCATTCCCGAACCATCGCTCTTCTCTCCTTCCCTCCCTTGAGGATGACGAAAGCCCTAACTAGACCAAACGGGAGCGAGCGATCTTGGTGTGGTTGGGGATTTTGCTCGCGGGGAACTCCCTTACCAGCCCTGGGGAAAGCCATGTTCATTGGTCGCTGAAGGCGCCCTGTCCCCTAACCCCCTCCTCTTTCGGCCCCTCACCCCCCACTCAGGGAGAGAATCATCAAGGCTTCCGGATGTTTATGGACCCTGTTTGAGCCCCAGGAACCTTCAGGAACCTCCGAGGGCCTCCGGGATATACTCCCTGGACCTCCGAAAAACCTTCAGGCGCCCCCAGGATCCTTCGGAGGGGGAAGGTAAGGGGGACGAGAGAGGAGGAGAGGAATGCGAGCTCGAGGGCAACATCCTTCCTCGATATCCCATATCACCCCGCGCTGCCTGTCTCCAATTTCTACACGCCTCCTCTTGATCCCACCTCAACCACCAGGATCAGTCAACATCGACTCTGGCAATCGGATGGGGTCGGAACGTCAGACGGATCGGCCTGCATCGGCACAGAGTCGAAATCGAATCGGATCGGCCTCGCCAGGATGCACAACAACGCCATGCAAACATCGGGCCGCACCTGATCGCTGGAAGGTCAGACTGAGTCCGAGCAAGCCTGGAAAGGCCGAAATCGAATCAGATCGATGGAATCGAAGTAGGCCCTGAAGTATACAAGTCCGACGGAAAGCCTCCCCCCCGTTCCGCCATCCTCGCCCGCCTGTCGCGGCACTGCATGCCCCTTCCGTGAAGGAGCGACGAACCGAAACGTAAAAACGCAGACTTCCGGAGGCCCGCTCGGATCTGCATCCGCGCTGGGACCCCATGACGGAGCCTCCAGGGCCGCCATCAGGCGCGCTTCGCTCGCCGGGCAGCGGAGCTCAAAAAAATCAAGTACTGAAGGGACCCCAGGACACACAAATAAATACACACAGATAAAATGATTCCCCATATTTTCCTATATTTTCTCGGTTTTTGTCTTCCAGCAAAATTCCCATATTTTCCCATATTTTCCTGGGACTCGACGATTAATTGTGTCTGTGTGTTTCTTTCCCTCCTGAAATACATGGAACATCCTGGCCTTATCTAATCTCCTTGGAGGCAGAAGCAACGAGGGCGGCCAATCCCGGCCCTGGCCGCCACCCCCCCAGGTGACGTTGCGACTCGTGCTGACCTCCGAGCTGTCTCTGGAAATGCGCGGACGACGTTCCGATTCCCAGACGGCGCCGGCGCGAAGAAGGACGTAGCCTGCCCCGTTCACGCCCGTTACCGCCGCTGCAGGGATACAGAAACGCTCTGTGCCCTCCACGCCCCCGCGCCGGCTTCCCCTCACCTTGCCATGAAGGGTAGCCAAGTCCTGAGCCCTTGGAGGAGCTGGACCCTTCTCCTGCCCTCCTCCTCCGTCTGCTCCTCCGCCTCCGCCTCCTCCTCCTCCTCTTCCTCGTCCTCCTCGTCCTTCTCGTCCTCCTCCTCCTCCTCCTCATCCTCCTCCTCCTCCTCCTCCTCCTCCTCCTCTGGGCGGGAATCGGCAACCAGCTGCTCGAGAAGGGAGTGCGGCCAGGGCACTCCAAAGCGGCGAAGCGGCCGCGCGATGGCAGGGGGCCCATAGACCCATCCCAGCAGGAAGCTGTCCACCAAAGGGGAACAACAATTCATTTGGGACCCGTTCGTCCAGAGTCGTGTTTGTTCACGGCCCAAGGAGGGCCCTTTTGTTTGGCATCCACGCCGTCGCCTCCAGAGCCCAGGAAACCTCGGAAACAGCGCCTGCAACGGAGGGAGGCGCAGGAGCCAAGGAAGCTGTGCTAGCCAGAAGACGCCCCGTCCGCATCGAGTCGCGGCGGCATCAGCGGACCTTCATCCGCTACGCGAGGGAAAGGGGGGTCAGCACAAGGGAGGGGGTCCTTGACCCGCGAGCACGCAGACAACGCAACAGGCACATCGCTTTGAGGTCGGCGTGCCGTCAAAAGGATCTCCCTGGAATACTCAGCACGCCGACGAACATCCTCCTCCTCCTCCTCCTCCTCCTCCTCCTGGTTCACGTCCTCAGGCAGGGTTTCTTGTCCTGCTCATCTAGAGGACGAGAAGAGGGGCGGAGAGGCAAGAGAGGAGCAAGGCCCTCCTCCTCCTTCTCCAAAGAACGAGACACAGACACCGCCGTCTGTCTCGTGGAAGCAAGGAGAGCAATATCCTCCTCCTGACACACCGAAGGAGAGGCCTGCGGTGTGGCGTGTTTCGTTGCACACACTTGGGGCCAGCCCTCGATGAGACCAACTCTAAAGTCGGAACACATCTTGGCGCCAGCCACTCCTTCAAAACCTTCCTGCTGACTCGCGAGACAACGACCACCAGACACAGACTCCTCTACGACAGGCGACTCATCATCACTGTCACGCATGGGAGTAGCCCAGCGCCGATCACCGCTGAGAGCGCCGCACTCCCCGCGAAGGAAGCGAGCCGCTTATTCCCCCCCATCGGAACGGACCAAAAGAGACGGAGGCGGCCTCGCATCGGCAAGAAGATCAGCAGTATAGCCCAGGGCAGGTGACGGTACCCCTCCCTGGCCTTGCGCTTTCCCCAAAGACGGTGGCGGCACACATCTCACGAGCAGCGAACTCCGAGCCAAAATCTGCATATGTGGCCAAGTCGTCCAAAGCAGGCGTCGGCACCACACTTGGCGGCAGGCCCAGAGGCGGGACGTCGACGTCAGAGCTGCTGACACGATTGAAGCAGTCAATAGTGAAAGACCCAATTTCGACTCCGACACCTAGCTTTCAGGGTGAGTAAGGAGGATGCAGCCCTCGACACAAAATATCCCTAACTGCGCCGAGCCCGACGGGCAGGTGGAAGATGCAAGGAGCACCCAAGCCTTCAACCATGCAGCCAGACGAAAAAAACTTAAACCTCTCACAAATAAACAGCACACTGTTGTCAGAACGGTCGAAGGCCAGGATTTCCTGTCCCAAGCGGCCCTGGCGTGTCGCATGCAACTCACTGCCCTGGGGGGCACCGGCCAGGTGGGGCCCACTCTCGTTGTGCGCCCCCTACGACAGGCAATGCAACGCCAGGCCCCGCCCCGGGATTCCCAGCGGCGGCCTATAACGGGGGAAGCCTCGCCGAGCAACAGATTCAACGCCTTCGAAGTTGATGTCCGACCAGACGGGGGAGAGGTTAGCAGCAAGCTTCAGGGTAGCATTCGCGCACTTCACGGGTCGACTGGCTTCTTGGAGCAACGCTTCATCAGCACTGCGCAACAAAAGGGCAAGGCTGGCGCCGATTTGGGCATGGCGATTGCCGACCCCGCGCCAGCTCTCACTCTCGTTGATGTTTGGATCATCGACGGCTTTGCGAGCGTCGACATGCAAGCATTCGGACGCCGAAGACAATTGGCCGCGGCGCTGCAGGAACGCGCCAGCGTACATTCTGCAGCGCGAAAGTTGCTCGGCCTTGGACCTGCCAGCAAGGACCAACAAACAACAACAAACAGAGAACAACAAAAAACGTGGCTAATCCTAGGATGGGCAGCCAAGACATTGGCCCACGTGAAAGCACAAAACTCGGCAGACGGAGGCGTTTGCAGATGGGGGCCCCAAACGGGGGTCTGAATTGGCCACTCCTCTCCCCAGACTCATCAACCGCGCAGGCAGAACTGCTGGCGCGCGAACGCTATCCGAAGGCACGTCTCGAGCAAGAGCCATCGACGAACAAGGGGGCCCAATAACGATTGCACTGGACTGCCATCAGGGGCCTGCTCGGGACGGTTGCGCCACGCCAGGAACGGCCCACCTTCGATTTCCTCCTCGGGCCCAGGACCCCCGTCGGCGGGGCGCCGAAAGGTACCATACATATATATATTTATAGACAGAGACGGCACTCTCGTCGCCCGACACCATAGCTTCCAAGACAGCGTCAATGATGCATGTCCGGATCAACTAGACCGGCGCGCAACATCGCCTAGGGGCACGAGGGCAAACCCGCAGGAGATGATACAAAAAACAGCGCCCCTCTGGCCGCAGTACTCACGCAGAGGCGAGATAGGCTGCCCAAGGCCTCAGATCTGGCTTTGGCAAAGGCCCTGGCCCTGGCCTTCTGCAAAAAGTGGGCTTCTGAGATCGAAGAGCTACCGCGGCATCGACGACGCCTGAACTCGTTTCTCCACGCGGCGACCCCAATCTCATCCTAACATCCTGAAATACCTTTCGCGGACCAGGGACCGAAACAGCGGGGGAAAACAGGCCCAGGGGGATGTTCCTCCCGAAATCGTCGACCAGGGTCACTAAGACACGCGCTCGCCATCCAGCGCGAACGAGGGAGAAGCAACGGGCCGAAAGAGGGCCCGCCACTCTCCTCCAGCGACACGCTTTTAAGGTTGAACACGGACTCCGAAGCAGGCCGACGGGAAGGGTGATCAAGCGACCACCTGAAAACAGCATCGGAGCAGACGCCACTCTCCAAGTGGGTTCTCCGTCAACGATGGCGATGGCAGTGAAAGGCCTTCGCTTGCTGCGAGGCCGCGCGACCGAAAAGACTCGACAACGAAGCGCGCTAGGGCCACGGTCGCCGACGCCCGCGATCTTCGAGCCGTTCCCCGCCCCTGCTAGGGGCCAAGCAAAGAAAACGTTAAGCGGCGTGGACGTCGCGACAACCTTAGCTTGCTTCTCAAGATGGCGCGCAGCACGACCAGCCCTGGCAAGGCGAGCCTTCATCATGGAAGACCTGCCTGCCACGCGGACGGCCCTCCCCGCAGAGTAGTCCACTCCGAGATTCACCGTGGAACGAGACAGACATTGGAAAGGGTGGCTTAGAAAGTCGACGACCTTCTCATCGACGAATCTGGAACTGGAGACAACGGCCGCCCTATCAAGGGCGCGCAACACCCGAACTCCTTCCTATCAACACAACCTAAGGCGATCATGCAAGCAACTATCCCTTTCACAACCTGGCCCGCCTGACCCGTACATGAGAGCCCTTGGGCATCGACGTGCGCGTCGAGATCAACGCGCTGAAGGGCGGGATGCTACCGCACCCTTCGACACAGTAAACTCTGCTAAGCGCGGCGGCCATCGGGCAGCCAGCAATGGCCCCCCTCTTCCCATAGCGCGGCCGTTTCAACCAGCCCCCCAAACTGAGGATGCGCCGGCGCTGGCACGCGTGTACACAACGGAGAGCAATCGCCATCGGAAAGCCGCGCCTCTTACACCTATCCTCAAGATTCCCAGGACAGCTGTTCTCGCGGGACTTAGAGGGGCCGAAAACTGCTGCAACTGGCTTCGCTGCGGGCCACAGGACTCTCAGCAGCGACAGCATGCGCCAACGCAACGCCAGCTGCTTCCCGAAACTGGCCAGCAACCCAGAACCGACGGGAGCATTATAATCCCCAGTCCACCGCCAAGACCGCCCGCAGAGCCCAAACATCCTGAACCGAGCAGAACACCCCGACCGCCCTGCAGCCTCCAGCTGGCCCCGGGAGCCGCGCGAGCTAGATGACAAAAAAACTGGGGGGCCACGTGTCCCAAGGACTCGATGGTGGACAGGATAACTCCGAGAAAGTTGAGGCTAGCATCGGACAAAACTAAGAAATACCTGCAATGGAGGCCATCCTTCGAGACAGCCGACGCGGCCTTGCACGAGTGAGACATGCCACGATGGCCCGGGCAGAGAGCCTGGAAAGCGGGGGGGGGAATACTGCCAGAAATGATCCCCATTCCCTTCCCCCCGCGTAGACGCGAGACCTGTGACCGCAGCCTTGAGCAAGGAGAGAAGGTCGGAACGCCCCTCCGCAGACAGCGCGTTGCTCGCCGCCCAAGAGAGAGGGCCCCTCAACGTCCAACGAGAGCGCTCAGCACCCGATTGCACCCCCACGTTTGGCCAAGACTTCCATTTGGCCCTGGCACGAGCAGCACGCAGCGAGTCGGCGGCCTCGACGGCCTCGTGCACCTGAACATACAGATGACCGAAAGACGGAGGCACTGAGGCCCCTACCGCCTTCGCCACCCGCGCGAACAAGTCGCCGCGGTCATCCTCGGCCGCGGTAATGGTCAGCGGCGGCCGCAGCAGCAGGAAACCGCCTAGATGCGGGAGAAACAGGATCCCCCCGCGAAGCGTGGATTAACGCCTCAAGCTGCTCACCGAACCGCTTGGCAGCACGGCGGCCAGGGTGCCGAACCCGAGAGTCCCGGGCAAGGATCGAACGCCAGACCAATTGCGGGCCCAAGCCACGCGCACCAAACATGACCGGCGAAGACCCTACCAACGGCACCTGCTCACGCTCAGCAAGATCAGACCAGCAATGGTAGAGAGGACACAACAGACTCAAAGCCCCGTGGAAGTTGCACGCGACGATCAAAGCAGGAGCGCGCTCAACCGCATCCCGACCCCGATCCCAGACAGGCGGCAGAGAATACGGACCCGCCGCAGCATCGCGGGGCATTGGCGGGGGGCCCGAGAGGCCAATGCTTTCAACGCCGCGAACTCGGGGGGAAAGGGCATCTCCACAGGGGCGAGAGCCCCGCATCCATGGGCCGATCGCGATGTGCGCGGACGTACTCGGCGACATGAGATTACCTTTCATCTCATCCGCAAAATGAGATCCCTGGATCCCCCAGGCCCCACGTTGAAATCGGCACCCAAGACCCGGGGGCAGGGCGAGGTCGAGAGCACCAGGACAATCCTAGACAAATGGTCGAGATTCATGCCAGACGGCCCCTCAGAACGGCAAAGATAAGCGGGAGCCACCAGGAGGGAGGGGGGTAGGAAGCGCAATGGAACAGACAAGCCCCCGACCCCCAGCAACGTTGCCCCCGGGATAGTCAGGACAGCCCAACAAGGAGCGCACGGGAATGGCAACGCCTCCGCTGGCACCCCTCGCCCCCGTCGCCGCGGCAGCCGACCGCGCCGACTCCCAGCCTCGGCGCAGGCCCCAGGCGCTGGCCCGAGCAATTCCCTCACCCCAGATCAGATGGTGATCCTGACAGGGCAAGACGCGCTCATCAATTCCCTCAACAGTGGAAGACAGACGACCCCAGGAATTGAGCGCCGGCGGTCTGTGCCCAAGGCGCAACCGAGCCCTGAGCCTCCGACAGAACAAGCCCGGGGCTGGCGGCAGAGGAGGCCCCTAAAATGATCAAGCTCTCAGCCTGCCTATCTGACACAGAAAACTGAGCAGAACGAGCAGCGCGCAGGGCTCTCACCCGACTGAGGGCGGGAGAGACGCGACCCCCCGCGAAGCATAAACGAGCGCCACAGCACCCAGAAGCAACTCGCTGCCCCGCCTAGCCGCGCCTGCCCAAGACGGGGCAAGCAGCGACAGGGCAAGAAGACATGCGCGGCCGCGAGCCTTACCCAGATCCAGCACAGGATAGCAAGCGGACGGCATGACGAAATTGAAAGGCACCCAGCTACGAAACAAGCACACGTCACGCTCGCCGGCAGCCATGGAGACATCCAGGGCCGCATCAGCTCGAGGCGGAAGGTTGGCCCATCGACCCTTAGGCGCTCGCCGCTGCAACTTGCCGCTCGAACCAAAGAAGAAGATGTGCAAATCACGCCTGCGCCACAAGGATACATAAAAGGAGCCTTGGCACAGGCAGAATAAACCATGGAGTCAGATCCTGCCTGGAGCAGCCGAAGGCCAGAGCGCGAAACCTCAAACCGACGCTGCACCCGGGGAGAATCAGCATCTGCGGCAGCAGGCTGGGCAATGCGACCAGCGCGGGAACGAATCGCAAAGCTGTCCGACGCCGCGGCGGCTCCGCTAGCCGCTGTGGCCGCTCCGTCTTCGCCTGCCGCTGAAGCCGCATCTGAAGGCGCCGCCCCACAATCAGCCTGTTCAGCTGCAGGCGTCGATGCACAAGCTCTATCCACACGACGTTTCTTCTGGATGCGCTCTCGATGTGCAGCGTGTGCGGCCTTGACCTCATCCATCGTTGACTTAACCGATGCGACCAGCTCCGTCGCCAGCGACGGGGGGCCATTCTTGATCTGGATGACCCGAGACAGCAGCTCGTTCTTGTCACCCTGGCTGAGCTCCACATTGTCGAGTGAACATGTCACCGAACTCGATGTCCAAAAAATCGGCCAGCCGAGCTTCATTCAGCAGCACCGGTAGCATGTGCCCAGACTTCGGCTCGGACGGGATGGCATCATGAAGGTGCCGCACAAACTGCAATTGCTGATACTCCACCTCGACGAGCTCCGCCCGCAAATGCACCACAATATCACGCTGCTGAGATAGCCGGCTTTCAAAATATTCATAGTTCGAACACGCCTGGTCCCATTTGCCTGCTTAGCTTGGAAGTGCGCCTTGTTCAGCTGAGCTTGGTCTGGTTCCAGCGCGCTCTTCGGCTCGGGCAGCGCCTTCGTCGCCTGGCGGTGCGCTGCAGCTCCTTGACGATCGCCCAACTTCTCGCACAGCAAAGGCAGCTGTGCGAAGTCCTCGGCTGACAGCTGACATAGGGGGACCGGCCCCTGACCCTTGCCCGCATGCTTGCCCTTGTCTTTGGCGCCACCTCCACCGCCTGCACCTTTGTGGCCCTAGCCAGGGTGTCCAGGAGCCCACAATGATGACGGTGGTCCCGCAGCCCATGCGCCTCCATCAGCGGCGCTGGCCGCCTTGTAGGCACCACAGTGCTTGCAGCAGCAGAGACGATCATAATGCTTCTTGCGCCAACATGTAGTGCAAGTCCATCTCTGACCCTGATGGACCAAGACCCGTGCCAGCGCCGCCAGGATGCTGAGGACCAGGAGCGAGAGGAGGCCAGGCCCGAGGCGAGGGCGAGCGGGCCGGGCCACTGCTGCCCCAGCCACGATGCCGTGGGGCCCACGCCTTTGCAGCGCCCTTGCCTTGGCCACCTGCGCCGCCCGCCATCGCGCCGTGATGCCCGGCAGCTCCGCGCGGAGAGAGGGAATCCCTCGAGAAAGAAAGCCACTAAGGCCCGCAACAGCACTCGGCCGTCCTGAAGGCATGCTGATGCACGCGCAGGCGAATGCCTGAGCCAGAACGGCTGCCCACGGGGGGCCCTGGAATAGAAGATTGATCAAAACTCCAGAATACGTTCCCCTCAGGACCGTTGTTCTGCATAGCGAGATTTCATCGTCTCATCCTCCCTCGCCAGCCGGACAGGGGGACGGAGGAGGGAGCGCGGGTATGCAAGCCCGTGGGGGGAAGGGATACCAGAACGGCGCCCATGCACCACACCATATTTGGACTACCTTCGGGGGCCGTTTCAACGCGGTACGGTGCATAGGCCGTTCGCTCTGAGGGCACGGCTGAACGCTACGGACCAGCCCGCCAGGCCCACTGGAGGAAAGGTATGCACACTTGGTGAGCATGTTTTCCACCGCCACCACCATAAGTTGGAGGGAGGAGGAGGAGGAGAAGGAGGAGGAGGAGGAGGAGGAGGAGGAGGAGGACCCCCCCTCTCCAACTCATGGTGGTGGTGGTGGAAAACACGCCCATCAACACTGGGGGGGCCGACCCACAGGCGGTGGCACGCCCCAGCGTCGTCCTGCACTGGGTGACGCTCGGGCGCGCCTTGGAGGCGGCTTGGGGGTCTGAACTGGCTGGGACCCCCAAAAAAACGGTCAGGAGAGGGGATGGAGCCAAATCCACGGAAAATCTGTCCCCGGACTGCTCCTGATGCAGTTTCTCACCCTGGATCCATTGATGTCGGTCCCGGGGACAAAAAAAAACGGCACAAGGCCGAAAAAGGCAAACAATACAAAAAAACAATCCAAGCAAAGCACCTCAAGACTCGTGCGGGCCGGAACCAGTGCTACGGGCCACCTCCGACCCCAGCCAGCTCCAAGGCGCGCCATCGTACATGGGGTCAGCCCCCCCCCGACGGGCTCCCGGTGGCGGTGCTCCCGGGCTCTCCACTGAGCATGTCCTGGGTTCAAGGGCCGACAATGCGCAGCCAGAACCTGTCCATAACCACTGCCGCGGGGTCGTGTCCTAGGGATCCGGGGAGCGTTCGGAAGCAAATCACGGAAGCCTCCCATGCCATCCGTCTGGCCCTTGTGAATCGAACCTACAACACTGATCGACCCCAGTTGACTCTAGTTGATGCGAACTCGACGCTACTCAATGCTAAATCGGCGCTTTCTCATCGATTACCATTCGCTAGCGCACGCTAAGGCACGGAGGAGGAAGAGGAGGAAGGAGGAAGGAGGAAGGAGGAAAGAGGAAGGAGGAAGGAGGAAGGAGGAAGGAGGAATGAGGAAGGATGAAGGAGGAGGGAGGAGGGAGGAGGGAGGAGGGAGGAGGGAGCTACCCCTCCTGCCCCCCCCACCCCTGGGGCCGCGAGCCGCGCGCATAACGGGTGGGGGGGCAGCCGCCTGCGGATCCGCCGTGGAGGGCCAGGGCGGCGTCGCACCCCGTGGCGCTGCTGGCCGGGGCGGTGGTGGGCGTGTCGCAGCTGCAGTACTGGCTGGCCTTGCGGTCCGCACCTCGGAGGGAGGAGGGGGCCATTGGGGAGGAGGAGGAGGAGGAGGAGGAGGAGGAGGAGGAGGAGGAGGAGGAGGAGGAGGAGGAGGAGGAGGAGGAGGAGGAGGAGGGAGGAGGAGGAGGAGGAAGAGGAGGAGAAGGCTATCAGCACCCCCGTAGCCAGCGCAAGAGGAGGATGCTGAGGATGGGGAGGACGAGAAGGAGGAGGAGGAGGAGGACGAGGAGGACGAGGACGACGAGGATAGGAGGAGGAGGAGGAGGAGGAGGACGACGAGGAGGAGGAGGAGGAGGAAGAGGAGGAGGAGGACGAGGAGGACGAGGAGGAGGGGGAGGAGGACGAGGAGGGGGCCGTCGGGGAGGACGAAGAGGAGGAGGAGGATTATGAGGATGATGATGACAATGATGATGATGACAATGATGATGATGATGATGATGATGATGATGATGATGATGATGACGATGATGATGATGATGATGATGCTGCTGCTGCTGCTGATGATGATGATGATGATGACGATGATGATGATGATGATGATGATGAAGCGCTTCCCAGCGCGTTTCTTCGGGAGGAGGAGGAGGAGGACCAGTGCAAACCCAAGATGTATCAACATGTTGGAATACACCCTCACTCCAAGCTCCCTCTGAACGGCCACTACACAGGTTCACTTCCACTAAGGGAATTGCCCCGTTGGGGAACAATCGCGTGACAATCCCGAACAATGCAAACACACCAATCTCAGGACGTGTACGCCACGAAATAACCTGTGTGTCACGTCTTGGAGATCCTGAACCGTGCCAGAGCACCATGGGACTTCAACACCGCGCAACAACGTAACTGTGGCACCCTGGCAAGCCTGAATCGCTCCCAAACATAAGTTCTGTTACGTTAAACATGAAAACAATTGAAATGTCTTGCGATCTTTGAACGAAGGTGCGCGGCGCCAAGGCGGGAACCACATTTTGAACAAGAGCCGCATTCAATCCGAGAAACTCTTGCAACACTCTTTTAAACGAATGCGCGCGGCGCTGAGGTGAGAACTACATGTGTGCGCGGCGCCCAGAAGAGAGCCGCATTTTGAGAACGACCTGTCTTCAATCCGTGAAGCCTTTGCAAACTGTTTGCAACGAATGCGCGCGGCGGTAAGCCGAGAGCGACATGTTGAAAGCAGCCCGCCCTCCATGTGTGAAACTGCTGCCAGTTTTGTGAAGTTTCAAGCTCATAAATTCTGAGGAAGCCTGAAGCGAAACGCCTGGCCCGCCCTCTCGACCTTGCTGGGGGTGCGACAGGGAGGAGTTATTTCCCAATCAGTGCTTGCACTGGAGGGGTCCTAGCGAAAATGAAAAAATAGTTGGCGAAAAAATCCCGCCGATGTTGGTGGCCTGATGAGGGGGCCGTCAAGCCAGATGAAACTGGATTCAGCCGCATGAAGCGAGATTAAGACGGATGGGGCCAGATTAAGCCGAACTGCGCAGGATTGAGCAGGATTAAAAGGGACTGGGACGGAGAAGGCCAGAACGAGGAATGGCTCCTGCTCCTTCTGCTACCACTACAATACTCCTCAACCTCTTGATCCAGTTCATCCTGCTCCTGCTCTTCTAATTAGGGTTCTGTTGATTGCCTTCGTCCTGCTGCTCATCCTGTTCCAAGCGTTCCTGCCCTGATCCGCATCCCCTGCTAGCGTATGATCCAGGGCCCAGGGCCATCCCCCATACTGATTGGTCCGCACCCCACACACACACAACACACACAACACACACACACAACACACACACACAACACACACACACACACCTGGGTGAGCCTTCACGGAAGCCTACGTGGACCTCCGTGGCCATATCATGAAAGTGAGTTAGACCGGATGTCGTCCAGATTTCAACCAGCCCTCTTCACCCTTTCGTCCACATTTCGTCCAGCTGTCGTCCAAATGTCGACCAAATCCGACGAAGTCTGGAAGGAATTCGTCAAACCGCCAGGAATTCTGGTACCCTCGGAAGCTCCCATGAAGGACCACACAGCCAGGCTACTGATTTTGCCCTCCTACACACACGCGCACACCTCCGATGTGTCGCCCCCCCGTGGGTGTGGTGTGGTGCCGCGGTGCGCGCAGGCCCAGTGTGGGCGTGGCGTGGCGCTGTGGCGGAGGAGGTCCAGTAGTCGCCGTCGTCCCCGTCGTCGGCGTTGCCCTCGTCCTCGTCGTGGCGCGTCGGGCAAAGGCTGCGGCGCACATCGCGAGCGAAGCGTCGAGATGCGAATGATGTTCCCAACGCTGCGCTCCCGCCGTGGCGCGATGCACATCTTTCGCTCGTCAATTCGTCGGACGCGGGGCGGCGCACGAGCGGGCGAAGTGCCGATCTCGCCGAAGCTCCGCGCTGATGTTAACCAGTCGTCGGCAGCGGGGCCGTGCCCACGAGAGCGAAACGTCGCTCTCGCGTTCGCTGGGGGTCGCTTGAAAGCTGGGCCCCCCCGCTTGGGCGCGGGGCGTGCGAAACCAGTCCTGTCAGAGCTCAGTGGTGCTCTTGCCGCATGCACAGCTCGAAAAGATTATGAATCATGTGTCCTGCATGGGCGGAGCCCGAGGTCTCCATCGCCATACCATAGGAATTGGCGCCGCGACCGCCCGAGCGCATCTCGTTCTCTAAGCGGAAGCGTGCGCCAATCACAGCGTCGAGGTATGCAGGCAGTGGTCCCTATGGTATGGGAGGGTGGGTAGGAGCAGGCAAGACCCGCTGACTGGATCGAGTGGATACCCCGCCGACACCTAGTAAGCCGTTGGCGCCTCAACCCAGCAGGGTCCATCCTACCCACGGAAAAAAGGGCCAACATCTTCACGTTTCAACGTGCGTGGCAGGAACGCAGAACGGTACACATCGCACCCGCAAGCGCGAAATGTCGTTATCGCTTCAGTGCCGCGCACCTTTGTGTCTGAAGGTTGCGCTCCCGCTAGGGCCGAGCGCACACATTTCGCTCGCAAAGTCGTCGGCCAAGGGGCCACGCTCAAGCGGGCGAAATGAGGCTCTCGCCGACATGCAGCACAACAGCCGCCTGAAAAAAACGCAGATGTTCCGCTCTTCAAGGCACAGGCAGCGGGGCCGCGGGCGGGCAGGCGAAATGCCACAACCAAGCGCACCGCAGATTCAGCCCGAAAGCAACCCTCTCGCTTGGGCGCGCTGCGCCAAATCTTCGGAAAGGGGGGCGCAGTGGTGCCTTCGTGGGGGTGCGTTGGTGCAATGTGGGGAGCGCCTTGGAGAATGTTGGAGTGACGGCAGGCAGCACGAGCAACAACGGGGAAATGCTTAAGAATTCCTGCTCTGATGACTGGCGGCGACAATCACGTTCCCAGGAAGCGTTCTGGGAACTTGATGGTTGCGGCCGTGTGAGGGCCCTCGTGGAAGCCTCTGTAAGGCTCTGTCGAGGTGTTGAGGCTCATTGTTGGGGCCTTGTGGGGCTCCTCGGCCGCGTGTAGAACCCCTTTGGGGTGTCGAGGCTCGTGTTGGCGCCTTCTTGGATTGTGCTGGGGCTCTCTTATGCATTTTTGGTGTTGTCCCCGAGCGTCGTGAAGCAGAGCAGGCCGCAAATGGGAAACCCTTGAACAATCATAGGAAATCAAGGTTTGCTAATTGGAGCTCTCTCGGAGAGCGATGTGAAGCCTCACTTGGGGCGTCTTGGATGACTCAGTGGGCAGCATCGAAGCCATGGGAGGATGCGCTGGACCCATTATTGGGCCCTATGAGCCAACTTTAGGGGCCTCTTGGCCAGTACAGGCTAATGTAGGGGGCCACCTTGGGACGTCTTGGGCGCCTCCTGGGCAGCTCTGACGCCCTCTTGGAGCTTGTTCGGTTCCTCGTGGACGCCTCTTGTGTCGCCTCCGAGCGTCGGAAAGCGGAGCAGGCGACCACGCGGAAACAAGTCAAAAACCAATGGACAATTAACGATGTTTGCCTATTGGGGGTCTCTCGTAGAGCAGCTTGACGCCCTCTGGGGCCGTCTTGGATGCCTGGTGGGCCGCATCGAAGCAATGGCGGGCGTGCTGAGGCCGATTTGGGGCCCTGTGAGCCTCCTTTAGGCCCTTGGTGGGGTGTCCAAGCTCATGTGGAACGCCGCCTTGAGCCCTCTTGGCCGGTCTTGGGCGCCTCTTGGGCCGTCTTGGCACCCTCTTCGGGTGTATTGGGGCCCTCCTGAACGCCTCTTATGCCGTCTACGGGCGTCGGTCAGCGGAGCAGGCGGCCACACTAAGGTGGGCCTCTCTCCGAGCGCCACTTGGACCGTCTCAAAGCAATGGTCGGCGTGCTGGGGGCGTTTTGGTACCCCCTGGGCTCCCTTGAAGGCCCTACTTGGTGCACTATGGGCCCCATTGAGGCCCGTATGAAGGGTCGGGACTCGTTCGACCCACCATGCCACACTGGGGCAGCGGTCCGCCCCCCCCCCCCCCCCTGGGGCATTTCGTCATGCGTGTATATGTGTACATACATATATGTATATATATATACATACATACATACATGTGTACACATATATATATATATATATATACACACATATATGTATGTGTGTATGGGTCCTCGGACCACCCTGCCACGGTGCCGGGGCTGTGTGCCAGAAGCCTCTGGGGTGTTCGTTGGTAGCTCGTCGGAGCCTCTTGGAGGCCGTTTTGGTGCTTCTTGGGGCCTCTTTCGGGCCTCGTGTGGGCCTCTTGGGGCCTCGTGGGGTCCTCTTCGGGGCCTCGTGGCGCCTCTTCGGGGCCTCTTGGGACCTCCTGGGGGCCTGCGGAGGCGGGCGGAAGGCTGGAATTGTGGGTTCGTGCTCCCCCTCTTGGGACCCTCTTGGGGCCGCTCTTCGGGCAAAGTGGACCACTATGCCAGCACCCGACCACGGGGAGGCCTTTTGGGCGAGGGCTCCTGAGCAACGACAGGTCCCTTCTACACGGTAGAGATAGGACATGAAGTTCCTGTTTATCCTGGTTGTACCCTTTTCGTCGTCCACCGTCATCCTCATCTCGTCCTCCTCTCGTCATAGCGTCCTTGTCGTCGTCATCCTCCCTCCCCCTCCATTTGCCATGCCTGCCCCTCCCCAGCCTAATCATTCGCCTGATCTCCCTTCCCCCCTCATCCTCAATATGGTCGAATGTTTCCCCTCTGTAATCGGGCGTCGCTCGGTCGCAACGAGGGCCAGCATGCATTCGACCGATCCGTCCGGCTCTCCGTAGGGCTCTTTGAACATAACCGGGCAAGGAGGAGGCTGAGGAGGATGAGAAAGACAGGCAGCTAGGCTCTGCAGATGGCTCTCCTTCCACCCCAGGCTATGCAAGAAGGAGAAGGAGGTAAGAGACAGAGAAAGACGATACAAAAAGATAGAGCGCCTCGGCTCTGATTGTGGCTCTTCTTCCGCTTCAGGCTCTCGTCGATGTACAGGCCTGGGAAGAGGAGCGAATCTATCGCGTACGGTGTCTTGATGTGCTTCTCCGCCTGAAGGAGAGGGTGACATATTGGCAGAGAGAGGCACAGAGAGGATGAGGGAGGCTGCTAAAGGAAAGAGCGGCTGGATGGGGCAGACGAAAACGGTGGCAAGACGTGACTGGAGGGGTAGAGAGAGAGGTAGAGGTGAAAATGAGGAAAGGGAATAAGGTGTGAGAGGGAAATGATCGGTATCTTGTGCGATGATTTCACGTCGAGAAGACGCGGGTTTACAACAACATACAGCCGCGCAAATCTCCCTTGCACAGTCGGCGATTTCCTCTCCATCTTGGAGGCGGCCAGGGGGTCTGAAATGGCTGGGACACTAGAAACTCGATTAGCAGGGGGCATGGGGCGACATCTACTCAAAGAGGTCTCCAGACCCCTCACGTGGCCCATTCGGTGTAAATGTTCACCCAAGATCAATGTTTAGCGGCCCCCGGGCCCAAAGCCGGCCCCTGGAGGCCCCTCGAACCCAGCCAGCACCCCGAACTCAAACGCAGCTCAGTCCCCGCCCACCTCTCAAACCGACTGCCGCCGGCCGCCATCGTCAGCAGCGTCGCCTACGCCGTCTTCGTCGTTGCCAAAGTCGTCGTCGTCCCTGCCGCCACCGTCCTCGTCGGCGTCGTCGTCTCGTCGTCGTCTCGTCGTCGTCGTCGTCATCCGAGCCATCGCCGTCCCCGCCGCCGCGCCTTCGCCGTCGCCGTCGCTGTCGCGATCGCCGTCGCCGTCGCCGTCGCCGTCGCCGCCACCGCCGCCGTCGTCGTTGTCATGGACTTCGTCGTCTACGCCAGTCATCCTCCTTAGACGAAAGCGAAACGAAGATTACGATAAATCTGGACGAAGACGAACTGGGAATCTCTGCGCGCTGGCACATCTGGAGGATGCATCGGGCGCCGCAGCCGTTCCAGGACGAGCCGGGAAGCTCCGAGAGAGCCGCGGAACGCTCTGGAGCGACACATCCTCATCCCCAGGACCACGACATCATGATTGTTTCACTACGTGGACCCCCAGAAGTTCGGACACCGCGCCCTAAAACTGGTTGTCACCCTGCGTCGTTCTCTTACGGTCCCCAGGCCCAGTGAAGGCCCCATAAGCCCCCCAAAAAAGTGAATAACGTTCCGTCGTGTTCTTCTCACGACGGAAAGGGGTCTGGGGAAAGCGCTGGGGAAGCTCTGGAGCGACATGTCCTCATCTCAAGCCTCCCTGACCACGTTTCCTACGGGATTTCGAAAGCCTGCCTGACTCCTTAGAGTCCTCACACATTGGATCCGAATAGATGGGGTCGGAGGATCGCGCCGCATCGCCGATGCATCGGCGATGTCGGCGATGTCGGCGGTGCATCGGCAACATTGAAGTGGAGAAACTATGGCTCCACATCGAGTCGCATCGCCGATGCATCAGCATCGGCGATGTGGCGCGGTCCTCCGACCATTCCTACTCCGGCCCAGTCTGCAAATGAACAAAGATCATCACAAACATACGTTAGTCAGCGTGGAACCGAAACAGCGTGGAGCCGATGTTGTGCAAAATATGCGGCGCGATCTATGTAGTGCAACAAATGTTGTAAACTCTATATACGCACACTAGAACCATCACGCGCACTCAAGTTCTAGCTAGGGTCATGCTCATCGTCATCATTGTCATCCCCATCCCCGTCATCTTCATCGTCATGGTCATGGTCACCTTCACCATCACAACAATCAGCATTATCACCATTATCATCAGCATGGTGATCATCATCGCCATCATCGTCATCGTACTTTTCAGCATCATCATCCGCATCATGATCATCTTGTTGGTCGTCGTCGGCGTCGACGTCGGCATAGTCAGCGTCATCATCATCAGAGTCATCGCCGTCATCATCCCCGGTCCACTGCAGTCCCCTTACCCTCCTCCTCTTCCCATTCACCCTCTTCCCACTATATTAGACTCATCTGGTTCCTCGTCGGCGTCGCCCTAAAAGGGATCCCTGTTCCTTCACCCCCCTCTCCTCTTCTTCCTCCTTCTCCTCCTCCTCCTTGTCTTCCCAACTCTTCGGTGTGTCCATATTCGTGTTCACCTGCCTCCTTGTCTCCTCCTACTTGTCTTCCTTGTCTTCCTCACCTACTTCACCTCCTTGTGCCTCTCGAGCCCTCTTCATCCTGCGCTCCCCTTCCCTCGTCGTCTCCGTATCCCTCCCCGAGCCAGAAAATCAGAGAACAAGATAATCTTACAAGAAAAATGTCCCTCGTCCTCTTCCCCCTCCTCTTCCCTCTCTCCGTCCTCCTGATCCTCCTCCTGATCCTCCTCCTCCTTGTCCTCCTCTTCTTCCTCTAGGCAATTCGTTCAAGCAGCCTCTCCAAAAGATAAAAATCAGTGCAGCAAGGCCCCCCGCAGCGCCACGGATCCAGGTTCCGACCTAAAAGACGCAAGCACGAACTTCTCAGCGCCATGGTACTGCCACCAGCTCCCGGCTTGCGTACTCCGACGAAGCGCCAGCAAGTGGCACTCTCCAAGACCCGTGTCCAACATGGGCGTCTCGGCAAGCTGGAGCATAGTATTTTGGCAGATCGCGGGCAGGGGGGGGGGGGGGGGGGCGAAACCGCATCCTGAAACTGCTCCCTCCCCTGGGGAAGGGACAGAGAAAAGTGGCGAGAGATCGAATAGAAAGCAGCAACCAGAGCGAGAAATACAACGCTTGCAACTGTTTGTCCGCAAGCTCCTGCAGCCTGCAGGCGGCAAGAATGGAATGCGAAATCCGTCCCTCGTCCTGGTCTACCTCCTACCTGCTCCTGGCAAAGCATGGGGTGCAAAAGTTCTTTGGCTCTCGATCTAATGAACTGATGCTGCTTCAAAATAGTATTACACAGCAGGAAGCTACGTTGCGCTGCAGCCGTGGCCTGATCTCCCGTTCCGTTGTAGAACGACACGACTTAGCGGAGCCGAAGCTCGCGGGGCCCATGGGCCACAACGTTCACTTTTGCAAACAAGGGGTGAATAAGCCCAGCCGCCTCTCTAGGAGCAGCCCGAACATTATCATTGGCGATGCCGTCAAGTCCTGGGGCTCGCCCTCTTGAGGTGGAGCGGATCAACAGTTCGACTTCGCGCCGAGTGGCGACGTTTTCAACCTGGAGGGGGCCGACGACAAGCAACGCGGTAGACGCCTGGGAATACTTCTGAGCGGCCTCGGCACGATCCACGATTCGCCCCCCCTCGAATTCGGCAAAATGCTCTTGCATGTCTCTCGCGTCCGCTTGGGGATCGGAGAGGACATGCCACTGGGAGTCCGTCCGAAAACAGGCGGCCACGAGGGTGCGATGACGCCGCCCCCAACATCGAAGCAAAATGCGGATGCACTGCCATTCTTTCCTCGGCGCGTGACCATCGATCGAGTGTCTACCGTGACCCTCGTGCTGTTTTTTTATAAATAATAATAATATATATATAATATATATATATATATATATATCGCGTCGTCATGGTCAAGCGCCTCCTGGAGCACAGCGGCTGATCTGCCTGAAACAGAGATGAGCACAAGGCGAAACTCGCGAACATCGATGTGTCGATCAACGACTTGTTACGCTGCTCAGTGGAGGGGTTCAAATTTCCCAAGGGGGGGGGGGGGGCATGCTGTTCTTGATGGTGGCATCGGTAACTAAGCCCAAACCGAAGATGTAACTCCCCTTTGCTCACACTGACAGCGAAGTAGGAAAGAAAAAAAAAAAAAAAAAAAAAAAAAAAAAAAAAAAAAAAAAAAAAAAAAAAAAAAAAAAAAAACTACCCACCAGCGCAGCGCGGTGCCTTCGGGGCCCACCCGTGCGCGGGCCCAAGCGCAAGTCCTCGCCCTGGAGACAAACCCGGCGAGCAAGGAATAACACCTTGCAGACGGCGGGCACGGATCATAGCAAAGGTAGCCGGTTGGATATATGGCTTTCTGGGCCGAACTTTTTGTTTTCCAAAAGCCTGCAAACGGCCCCGTGGACGGCCGACTGGAGTTCCTGCCAGTGGCCGTTGAGGCCCACGGTCTAAGAAGGAAAAGCCCAACCTGAGCCGGCCGTCTTTGAAAATCAAGTTGAGCCTCAGGGTCGTCAGCTCTATTGTGGTCTACCCGCGGATCGAACGATCGCTGGCATGTACAATTCTGTTGCCACTTGAGCTCGGCCGCAAGGGGGCAGTGATCTTCTTGCCCCCCCCCCCCCCCTAGGTGCTCAAACTCATGGGTGGCCCAAGTATCCGAAGGGTGCTGAGATAATCTTTCTTGAAGAGGAAGTAATCAATTCCACGATGGGATCCTTGATTCGCAGCATATGCACGCCCGCCCCCGTTACACCTCATCGCAATAGCAGCCACTGTGGGTGCTGAGGGGCACGTCATGAAACTGCTGGCCGTTGCCATCTTCTGGCGTGGCAGGGCCAGCAACGTCGATGGCTTCGCTAGTGGGGAAGCCCACTTTGCCGTTCGCATCGACGCAAGTGATGTCGGGGCCCCACTTCCGAGTGAGACCCTCAAGCCCCTGCCAGAACTGCGCGCGCCCAGCATGGGAAATACCCACATGCGGGGCGTGGGCGACCAGGACAGCGAGGGAGAGGGCAGGGGCCTTGATTTTCGCAGTGAGGATGCGGGGGTGCATGTGGACAAGCTGAACATGCTGGGGTTTCAAGACAATAGGATTCTCTCCCTGGTGGGCGTAGGGGGTCGTTGAGCTGATCGAAAGTCCGAACCCGAGGTCGAACTGGTCGCGCCCCGCCGCATGCGCAACATCATTTCCTTGCCTCCTCGTTCCTCTACTAATCCTCCACTCTTGCTCTCCATAAATCAAGATACCCTCTTCCTCAAGTTGGGATTGAAAGAGCTGCTGTCGACCCGCGCGGTTGCGACCGCGGGCCCCCCGTCGCTCGTTAGTGCGGAGCGGCTGCGCGTGAGAAGTAGCCACCTTCAAATGCACCGTTCTGGCCATCCGATGGGGGGCGCCGGTCAAAATCGGGCACGGGGGGCTGAGCTGGGTCACGAAAAGGCGCTGGGCCACTGAG